AATACTTGTAGGTAGCTCTCATGTCCCTCCCTGAATTCTTATTTCTCCAGGCTAAACCTTCTCAGTTCCATAAAGGAATCTATGATCTAGTTCTGGAGACAGGATAAAAAAAGACCCAAATATGAGACTGTGTTTATGAAGTGGCAGGGGAATGGTAAGGCTACAAGAGCCCAAGGAAAATGGAGATTACTGTTGGCTAGAGTGGTCAGGGAAAGCTTCCTGGAAGAGGCAGGAGGTCAGTTAGACTTCGAAAGATGAGGAAGATTGAGGGTAGTGCTTTGAGAGGAGGTGGAAGGGTGTTCCAAGTGTGTGCAGGGAGGGGTAGGTGGGGTTTTGAAGAACTTAATGTGGTAAAAGACAGTGGAAAATGGACAAATGTGTGTGCAAAACCTTTGAAACTTGAGGATGATGATCAATGCAATGACCCAACAATGATTCCAGACGATCATGAAGCATGTTACCCACCTCATGACACAAAACGGATGGACTCAAAATTAACAAGGAAACACACATTTTGGGGCATGGCCAAAGGGAGAATGTGTTTGACTTGACTGTGCACAGAGTCATTAGGAAGCTTTTCTTGTTCAATTGAGGCAGTTGCTAGTAGCACAGTGAATAGAGCATTGGGCCTGGAGTCAGAAAGACTCATCTTTCTGAGTTCAGATCTGGCCTCAGACGCTTTATTAGCTGTATGACCCTGGGTAAGTCTGTTTGCTTTAGTTTCCTAAATGGCAAAATGGAGATAATAATAGTACCTACCTTGCAGGAGTGGATCAAATGAAATAATATTGCAAAGTGCTTGGCATAGTGCCTGGCACATAGTAGGTGCTATATAAATGCTTATTCTATTCCATTCCAATCAGGGAATAGATGGGAGAAAAAAATAAATGCTTAATTGAATGAAATTTATATGTACATACATATATGCATACACACTTGTATATATGCATGTATATTACATATACACACATATGTGTAGATAAATACATGCACACCCCCCAGATGTTTGTTAAGAAGACCCAGAAGGAAGGTGACCAGAAAACCCTGGAACTCAGTCCTCTTAAGACTGCAAGCAAATCCCTTCCCAGATCTTGGCCTCAGTTTTCTCTGCAGGAAAGTGGGGATAGTGCCTTCTACCCCTCGGATCTCATGAGTCAGTATAAGCCTCAAAGGAAATAAGTATGCAAAGTGCTTTGCAAATGTCAGGGAGTCCTTACTACTAGTAGGAAAGAAAGAAGTTCTCAATGTTCTTGTGTGTCACAACTACCCCTGACAGTCTGGGGAAGATCCATTCTCTGAATATTGCTGTTAAATGAAGAAAATGCATAGGACTACAGCAAGGAAACCAATTATTACCAAGGCACATTTTTCAAAACATTAAAAAACAAGTTCATAGGGCAGCTACATGGTGCAGTGGATAGAGTACTGGCCCCGGAGTCAGGAGGACCTGAGTTCAAATCCGGCCTCAGACACATGATACTCATTAGCTGTATGACCCTGGGTAAGTCACTTAACCCCAATTACCTCGCCAAAAACAAACAAGCAAAAAAAAAAAAAAACCAAGTTCATAGACCCCAGGTTAAGAGAAACCTAGATCAAAAGGTGGGGGCAGGGAGGGAAAGTTGGCATTATGGGCCCAAGGAGTATCTTCTGTTATCACCACATATGAACTGAGAGGAATTTTTTCAGGGTGCTTGGGTGGAAGATGGCAGCACCTGCATCTTTAGCAAATGGGGGAGGGGAGAGTGACGGCCCAGCTCTACAATGTAGAGATCTCTTAGAAGTTCACAATACAAGAAACATTTATAAAGTGTCTACTGCGTGCAGAGCCCTAGTTGCCAGCAGAGATGAGTTTAGATCATAGGATCAAGTGCTGGAATGGTCCTCAAGTTCAACTCCATCATTTTACAGAAGAGGATAATGAGGTCTAGGGAAATTAAGTGACATGTCCAATGTGTCATACATAAGACTCAAACCCAGGTCCTGTGACTTGAGAGTCAGTGCTCTTTCCCTGTTACTATTCCCTACCCTCAGGGAGCTTACCACCTGGTCAAGGAATAAAGAATTTAGCATTTTGTCATAACAGCAACAGCAAAGTGCTTAGTTTTTAGATAGAATAGAGTTTAGGCCAAATACAGGGAAGTAATATTTCCTACAATAGGGAAGAAACTCACTAGGAGAGGAGAGAAGAGGAATGGTGGGTGGGAGGAGGAGAAGAATAAGAAGGAAAACATGTTAAGCTTGGTTGAAAAAGGTAGTTGCAGTCTAGCGGAAAGAGCTCTGGACCTGTAATCAGCACTCCTTCATCCTAATTCTGGTTCTGCTGATCAAATAGTAGTGGGATTGTGGGTGAGGTATTCACCCTCTTGGTGCCTCAGTTTTCCTCTTCTGTAAAATGGTAATAATAATCCTAGCACTGTTGGGATTTTTTTTTTAAAGCACTTTGTAAACTTTCAAGTAACTATGTACATGTGAGTTATTATTCATGAGGGGCCAGACTGCACCTGCAAGGCTGGTATGTGACTTGTGGTGCTGTCATTTTTATGTTCAGGGGTAGTTCCCTCACCCTCTCTTGGACAGACAAGTCCCATCGTTGGGATGATAACAAATGGGTCACGTTACCGTTCTAACTAAGACGTTTGTTCATATCCTTGCAAGTCATTTGCAAGCAGCTTTCCACATATCTTCACAGACCTGTTTCCCTCCCCCCTCCCCCATCAAGGATTATTAGCCCCATCTGAAAGATGAGGAGACTAAAGGCTCAGAGAGGGAAGAAATTCGCCCAAGGTCACACAGCTAGAGAGAGGCAGGACCGGGATAAGAAGCCAGGTCTCCTGTTTACAAGTCCAAAGCTTCACCACTGTACTCTGCTGCCTCTGTTTCCAAGAGACATGTTTCTGGGCCAGATAGACAGAGACAGATGTCCAACACCAAGACAACCCAGGGAGAGAGAAGCTGATAGGGACCTTGAGTTCCAGGCCTGGGTAGCCCCACCCTTGCCTAGATCCTAGCTTACGGCCTTGATGGATGACCTTGGCCCCCTAGCATGTGCAGCATTGAAGAGAGGGGAGGGGAAGAGGGCTGCAGCCAGCCTGAGGCTCCTGGGGGATTGCTGTTGGTGCTGTCCTTGGCCCAGGCTCTGCTTTTCCTTAGCACCATGAATTGTGCCATTGGCTGCTTCATCCCTCCCTCCACAGCCGCACAGCTGCAGGATTTGGCTGAGGTGACCCACCTTAGGGGAGGGGGTGTGGGGATCCCTGTTTGCCCTGCCCTTCCCCCTAAGCTACCAGTAGCCAAATAGCAACCACAGAGAGAGGAGGGGAAATACAGCTAACTGGGGGCTTCCTTTTCCTAGTCCACCAAAAAAAAAAAAAGTCCACATTGCTTGTGAAATGAGGGGGATTATATACTAAGAAGTCTCTAAGGTCCCTTCCGGTTCTGACATTCTAAGGTCCCTTTCAGCCTAAACATTCTGTGTTCTATGTTCTAAGGTCCCTTCCAGGCCTGATATTTGATATGTCATGATATCATCCCAGGGTCTTCCTCCCAAGGCTCTCCTAGGACAAGCCTCCATGAAGGAATGCAGAGGCCCCTCAAGCTCCTAGCCTCTAAACTACTCCCTGAAGGGGGATGGATCGGGCAGAAGGGGCTGCCGTATTCTTATGGCCCAAATAATCAGGTTCTTCCTCCAGGCTTCTTCTAGCTACCTTCCTGAGTCTGGCTGGCAGCAGCAGTACCCCCCACCCCCCTTTTTCCTCTCCAACCTACTCCTTTTCTCTGATTTTTTCTACACTGGGGAATTGGGTAGAGAGTCAGAATCAGACGCTGACTACAACATTCCTCTCCCTCCCCCCCCCAAATACCAGAAGAAGGGAAAATAAAGGGCAAACCTCATATATATAATCTGCTTGTCCCCTCCCCCCACAACATATCTGATACCCTCACAATTGACATCTTCAGAAGATAGCCAAATCACACACAAGTGTTAAGTGCCTACTCTGTGCAGAGTATATTTATCCAGATAAATAGCAAACCTTCCCTCTGGGACAGACAGCCCTGGGTTCAGACCTCAATGATCTGAAATCCTGTCTATAGATGCCAGTTCCCTATGTCCCTGACCTCAGTAACACACTTAGGTAATGGTGGAGAATTAGGGAGAAAGTTAGGCACTAGTTTCTGCTTGAAGATCCAACCTGACGGATCAAATCTGCCTATCCTCCATGCACCCAGACCCATAGATCTGACACAAAGCAGTCCGGCCATAAATCAACCCATCAATAAATGTTTGCTGGTGTGCTTATGGTGTGAAAGGTGAGGAGGAGGGGGAAAATTAAAAAATGAAATAGACCAATCACTACGGTATGGGCAGAAGAGCCCCCCACCCCCCACCTCAAACCCTTCCTTCCTTCTTTCAGCCCAAGTCCTGGTAGCAGCTCCTAAATCCCAGAGGCTCCAGACCACTCAGCCTCAATGGAAATTCCAAGAATATCACTGGCTCACTGGGCTCCTCGATCCTAAACAAAGGTAAATAAACTGCAGCCCCCCCCCCCCAACGTTCTTCAGTCCCTCAACACTGGAAAAGACAAGAAAGGACTAGGAATGACCTCCCCCTTTCTCCCCCTGGTTGATGTCCAGGAAACCCGATCAGAGGCACAGGACTGTAATGGAGAGAACAACAGAAAACCAGGGTTCGAGTCTCAGCTCTCCTAAACAGCTGTGTGACCCAAGACAAGTCATATCCCCTCTATCTAGGCTTTAGTTTTGTTTCTTCTGCTTGATGCTCCTCCTCACCCACCCCCACCTCCCCGGCCTCGCACCCCCACCATAGATAGAATAAACAGATGCTTTCTACAATTCCTTTCCTAGCGCTGGGACCGTTTAAGCCCACGAGACCGGAGGAGAACCCATCTCCCCAAGCCCAAAGCAGTCTTCCTCCCGATCCCCAGCCTCACTAGCGACAACCTGGGTCATCCTCCCACTACCTCCCACCCCGGTCATACCGGGTCTGGGGGCTCCGAGGAACTGGGACCGGGGCACCGCTGGGTCGTGTGTCCCGCCCCGACAGGCACTGGACCCCTTCGTAGAGCCACCTCTTGGGAGCCCAGAGCAGGTAGCTCTGCTACCCAAGCGAGCGAGGGTCGAGTCTGGTCCTGGGGGGTGTCGGGAGGCCAAATGAGCACCGGAGGCGCTTGGCCCCCTCTAACTCAGAGGGGGCGGGCTCGAAGGACCGCCCACTGACACCCCCCACGCACACAGGGGGCGGTGGCTCTCCCCACTCCCTCCTTTCCACCCGGTGCCCCGCTCCACCCCCCACGGGCCACCCCGAGTTCGTAGCAGGCGACAACTAAGTTGTCCCAACCCCTCCACCACCCACGTGCAGCCGCCCCCCCAACCTCACGTGACGGAGCCCCCCAGGCTCCAGGGACCAATCAGAGCCTGGAGGCTGCAGCGCCCTCGAGTCGGGGGTGGGGTGGGGGGTGGAAATGCTTTATTCCCCCCAAAAAAACATTCCCCCACAATCAGGAGATAGATTCTTCCTTTGTCCCTTTGTCTCTCAGCCTGGGGGCGCCAGGGGGGGCTACAAGTCAGGCCTGGACACCTTGAGCCCAGAGCCGCGGGAGTCAGAAGGAGGGGGCAACCAGGAGAAGGGAAAAAGAGAGGGGGGGGAATGAGAAGGGTGGAGAGGTGGATAGTCGCTCCCCACCCAATTCAGTGCCAGCCTTGGCTGCGCTGCTTGGAGATCTGTGATCCCTCTAATGAACGCCACCTGCCCCTGCGGCTCCGGGGGCTGCCAGCCTCCTCTGAGTACCCGGGGACTCTACCCGTTCCCCCCTCCCCCAGTTCCCCCCAATCTTTTTTGCTGCTACAGCTCCAACCACCGGGAGTGGGGGGGCGGGGGCTGGACGTCGGGGGCGGGGGCCTAAATTTGCAGAAGCCCGTCCCCCCCACCCCAGCCCCTCCTCCGCTATAGCGCCTGGCGCTCCCGGCCCCCGCCCCGCGCTTCCCGGGTCCCGTGCGGGGCGCTTACCTCGGCTGCCCGCGGTCCCCCGAGAGCGGCTGCGCGCGGCTCCCCGCACCGTGCCCTGCGCTGCGCTCGGCGCGCACCTGTCCCTGCCCGCGCTGTGGCGGCGGCTCAGCCGGGCATCCTGCGGGGGGGGGGGGGGGGGGGGGGGGGGGGGGAGGGAGAGGATTCGGGGGTCGGCTCCCCCCCTCCCCCCCGCACAGCCGCCGCCGCAGCAGCTGTGCGCGCCCAGGCAGCGGCACCTTGTTCGGTGCGCGGGCCGGCCAGGCTAGCTCCAAGCGGCAGCTGCAGCGGGGCTGGGGCTGCGGGGAGGGGGGGGGAGGCGCGGTCCTGTCCGGTTCTGTCCCCTCCCCTCCAGCCCCCTCAAGCCCCTTCAGGCCCTGGGCGCTCCCTGACGGCCCCGACTCGGGCAGCTCCAGGGCTGGGTACGCGCACCTCCCGCATCTCTCGGCACCCGCCGCGGCCGCGGCTGGAGCTCAGGCTCCCCTCTCTTCCCCTCTTTTCCCCTCCCCAGCGCGGCCCCCGGCCTCAGCCTCAGCCTCTGCCTCAGCCTCAGCCTCAGCCTCAGTCCCTGGCGCCACGAAAAACCCGGCCCGGATCCTGTCCCCGGATCGGCCCGCCCCATGGAAAGGGGGGGCGCGGCGTGGGGGCCACCCCCCCTTTTCCCACGCACCGCAGCTTCCGGAGTGACGGTCCCCTTCAGGTCTCTAAGAGAATGAATCTGTCCACCCCCACCCCCATTTGGGCAGAACACAGGGTAGGCGGAGGGTGTTGGTCCTCCTGGGACAGTGAACCCAGGAATTCTGGTTTCCAGGGCCTCAGAAAGGAGCCTGGAAGCCCCACTCAAACCAGAAGCCCTATCAGAGAAAGAATGCGCCTTTGGACAAGCTCTGGATATAAATGGGTCAACCTGTGTACTCCCCCCCCCCAAGGGGAAGATGGGGAGAGGGAGGAGGGATACAGAGACGGAGAAAGAGATGGCTGTCGGCTCAGATACAGCCCAGAGAGACTGTAATTGGTGTTGGGGAAGATCAGACTTGTGAATTTCAGCAATCACATTAGGCTGCATCCTCAGCACCCCAGCCCTATGTATAACATGGTATGAGTGTATGTGTGTATAATATTATATATATGTGTGTTCATATACATATATACATTATATATACCATCTACTTCAGTATATGGGCACAGATACACACATCCTTATGTATGCCAGTTTACCTACATATATACATTACATGTACATGTGGGCATACGTGTGTACTTGTGAGTATGCATCTGGCATAGGCACTAGGGTATTCAGACTGTGTATTGTTGTATATAGGCACCCATGCATGCAAACCTATACTCAGTACTGTATGTGTATAGGTGCACATGTGTGCACCTGTGCATTGTGCTTGTATGTTTGCACACACATGGGCATACCCGCACACATGTATACATACACACACATGCACACATACATGAAACTGCATCCTCTTCAGGAACAACCCTAGCCCAAATGACCCATTATTATTAATAAGTATCTGATTAGGTTCAGCAGAACTTCGGATCCTTGGGAGCAGAAGAATTCTTTCAGTTCCCCCCCCCCACCCCAGCTTTGATTTAGCCTCTCATGGGCCCTGAAGCAGAATCTAGCCCATTTCGGCCTCCTTATTCCCACCCCTAGTTGCCCTGAGAGGCCTTTGGGCTTGGTTAGGCCATTAGAGTGTTCCCTGCCAGGCAGTGATAGACAGAGCCATTCTGTATAAATAAAACCCTCCTTCCCATTCTTGCAACCTGGTGATGACAGCCAGAGCCAGTGGGCTTATACAGACCCATTGTATATGTTTGGATTATTCTTTAAGGGGGAGGCCCAAAGGGCTGGCTATCTGGTCACAGAGCTTAGGAGGCCATTTGCACCTGCTCCCCGAGAGGCTTGGAGGCCTTTGCTTGAAGGCAGAGGGGGGCAGTGGAAAGAGAGAATGGTAGATCTATCCCCAGCAAACCTAGTGGGAGAAGGAGCTGAGAGTGGGGGTGGAGTGGGGTGGGGATCTAGGGCTCCCTTTGATCAGTCAGTCATAACTTCAGAGAACCACAGAATCGAGGACTTAGCATTGCAGATTTTAAGACTCATCAATTCTTGGAATCGTAGTGTCATAGCTGAATGTCAGAGCTGGAAGGAACTGTTGAGGCAATTAGTCCCATTTTCCACCCATCACAGAAATACTCACTACAGTGTCCCGGAGTCAGTCTCTGCTTATTTCCACTGTGTGCCAGCTTGGATTATTAGGAAAAACTAATAATGCCCAGTTAATGTTTGCTCAGCACCTAGTGGATAGTCCAAACTGGCAGAATTGGAGAAATTCAAGGGGAGATGGAGGACAGTGTCCCCTGCTCCCCTTTCTGTCTTCATCAAACTTGGTTGTCCCTTTCACTTTCCATTTCTTTCCTTTTTCTGCACAATAGTCAAGCCCTGGAGTCTTTGGGGCAATGCTGTCGGTCCAGGGCTACCCCTCCCTCCAGTACATGGCCAAAGTGCCAGGTAAAGGGCTGCAAGGGCCCACTCTGTCCAGCAGGAGGAGCTCTGGCTTGTTCAGGGTGGGTGGGGGGGATCCTACAGAGGTGCAGTGCAGTCATTGTGTTTGGGTTTCTTGATCCTGGTGGATGAGTTTGGGGCAGGCACTAACTTTGGTGCTATTGTTCTATGGGGGCTAGAGGCTTCTAACAGCAGGACTTCTCTGGATCAGAAAGGCCGGCAGCTCCCTGCATCTGATCAGCATCCTCAGCCCCTCTGCTGACAGACAGAAAGTCTGCCTGGTGGTGACCACATTCTTCTGATGGCCAGGCTTTCCTGTCTGGCTTTAAAGGCAAATCAACTTGAACCACAGCACCAGCTGAGCTGAGAGGCCTGCCCTGCCCCCTTCACCCCTGTCCCAAGAGTACCTTTTTCATTCCCCCTATGCCCCCCCCTTCCCTCTCTTTCCCCCATGCTGCCAAAGCACCAGTCACATTGTTAATAGAAGAACATTTTCCCTGTCATGCATCAGTATCAGGGTCCCTAGAAGTCTTTTCTGTTCTGAGGATTTCTAAGCACTGGGAAGAAAACCTGCTGTTGTCTTAGGCCTCCCTGTCTCTTTGGGGGTTATAATCATAGAACACAGAACATTGTAGCTGGAAGAACCTAGAACTTGGAATTGCCAAGGTGAGAAAGGGCCTCAGAGATGATTAGGCCAGTTCCCTTACTTTATACGTGGGAAAATTGAGGCCTAAAGAATGAATATGACTTATTCAAAATCACAAAGGAAGGTTGTGTCAGAGCCAGGACTAATTCAGGTCTCCTGACTCAATCTAGGGTTTTATCTGCTACAACACAATTTCTCCAGGCCTACCAACACTGATTCATTCTCTCCTGCCTGTGAAAGGCCAAAATTCAGAGGACATCATTTTTATGGCTAAGGCAATTGTGGGCCGAGGGTAAAATGGAGAGCAGAGCTAGGACCCAGCTTGGAGTCCCTTCGTGCCTGTTAGACTGGCCTGGTAATCCTTCGGCTTCTCCACATGAGGGAAGGGAGGACTAATATAATGTACTGATAACTGATATGTGAAATAGTGTGGAAAACAATAAAACTAATAACTAATACAGAGAATAGCATGGACGAGAAAGAGGTGGAAGGATGTCCCTTCTCCCTTACTGCCCCCCCAACCATGCATTAACCCCCTTTCCACTCACCCAGAGCAGAAGTCACTGTCCTGGCACATACCACTCTTCTATTATACATGTCCAAGGAAGATTTCAGCTCCAACAACTCCTCTATTCCTTCCTCCAGAGCCACTGGACTGGAAGGAGATGAGAGGTCTTGTTCATTTCTGCTGGGGCAGGGAAGCTGTCCTCCCTTTAGGCTGGGTACACAAGAGTGGAAAGTCTGATATGTGGAACTACTTTTCCCTCTCTGGGACTTTTCATCTGAAGGGGTTGGTCTAGAGTGTCTAGCTGACACTCTATAATCTCTGTTCTAAAGGATCTTTTCAGCTCTGACATGCCAAGTTCTCCGTTTTAAGGGCCCTCCCAGCTCTAG